ATTATTTCATGATTAAAGGGTCTATTGAACAAGATGACATAACCATAATAAATATCTATGCTCCCTCTTGCCCCAAATATTTACAGAAAACAATAATAGATTTGAAAAAAGAAAGAGATGAATCTACAATAATAGTGGGTGATTTTAATACACTGCTTGAAAAAATGGATAGAACAACCAGAAAGAAACTTGACAAAGACACAGAAGAACTAAACAACACTATCAGCCAACTGGACCTCAGAGATGTGTATACAGCATTCAACCCCAAATCAGCACAATACACATTCTTTTCCAGTGCGCATGGAACATTCTCCAGAATAGACCATGCCTTAGGCCACAAAACAAATCACCAAAAATTTACAAATATCAAAATACTACCAAGCATCTTCTCAGACCACAATGCTATAAATTAGAAATCAACAATAGGAAGACCAAGGAAATAAAGTCTAATACATGGAAACTGAATAGCAGCCTGCTGAAAAGTGACTGGGTAGTAGAAGAAATTAAAAGTGAACTCACAAAACTCCTAGGAAAAAAATGAGAACAAAAACACAACATACCAAAATCTTTGGGACACAGGGAAGTGGTGCTGAGAGGACAATTTGTTGCAATAGATGCACACATCCAAAAAGAAGAAAGAACCGAAACTAACACATTAACACAGCATCTACAACAATTAGAAACAGACCAACAGAGGGAGCCAACAGTCACCAAAAGAAAAGAAATAATAAAGTTTAGTGCAGAAGTAAATAAAATAGGAAATAGAAAAACTGTGGAGTCAACAGGACAAGATGCTGGTTCTTTGAAAGGATTAGCAAAATTGACAGACTGTTGGCAAACCTAAAAAAAGAAAAGAGGGAGAAGACACAAATAACATGCATTAGAAACCACATGGGCGATGTCACAATGGAACCAAAACAAATCAAAAGGATAATAACAGAACACTATGAAAAGTTGTACTCAAAACAAATTTGAAAACTTAGAAGAGATGGACACATTTTTAGAAAAACACGACCTACCTAAACTTACACAGAGTGAAGTAGAAAACCTGAACAGACCCATAACAATAAAAGAAATTGATCACATCGTCAAAAAACTCCCAACCAAAAGAAGTCCAGGCCCAGATGGCTTCACTGGTGAGTTCTACCAAACATTCAGGAAAGAGCTGTCACAAATTCTACTCAAATTATTACAGAATCTAGAAGAGGACAAAAAACTTCCTAATAATTTTTATGAAGCAAGCATAACCCTCATACCAAAACCAAGGAAGGACGTCATTAAAAAAGAAAATTATAGGCCAATATCCCTCATGAACACTGATGCAAAAATTCTAAAAAAAATCCTAGCCAATAGAATCCAGCAGCACATCAAAAAGATAGTATATCATGAAACAAAGAACCTAAGCAAAGAAAACTACAAAACACTACTACAAGAAACCAAAAGAGACCTACAAAAATGGAAGAATGTACCATGCTCCTGGATAGGAAGATTTGACATTGTAAAAATGTCAAACTGCCCAAAGCAATTTACACATATAATTCTATTTAACTTCAGATTCCAATGACATTCTTCAAAGAGATGGAAAAAACAACTACAAACTTTATATGGAAAGGAAAGAGACCTAGGATAAGCAAAGCACTTCTTAAGAAGAATAAGGTTGGAAGCCTCTCACTCCCTGACTTCAAAATTTACTACACGGCTACAGTGGTCAAAACAGCCTGGTACAATGAAAGAGACATTGATCAATGGAACAGAATCAAGAATCCAGAAATCAACCCATCCACATACAGCCAACTGATTTTTGACTCAATGGGAATACATGAGCAGACATGCACTCTGACTGGTGACCACGTTGGTCACCAATAAGGGGAAGTCATGGAAAAACATCAATGAAGCTGCGAGCTAAGCCCTACAACGTTTAATAGACTCCTGTGAACCCGGTGGAGACCTGGTTGGCCAACAGTGTGATAAGACCTGGGGACTCTTGAGCCCAGAGTCAGTGACATAGCCACAGAAGAAGAAAGAAAAGGTAAAAAAAGTGTAATCTGATACAATTTGATGAAGTTGACCTACACCTATGGATGCAGTTAGCTCAAAAGAGGGAACAAATCATTATAGCAAGGATCATTCCCATACCCTCCATACACAGAGTAGACAGGGATAGGCAATTTGGACATTGGCTACCCAAAATGGGAGGGCTACAAACACAAGAAGTGACTGGCTTACAGGCTTTCTAGAGAGAGCCTAGATCCAGAAAGTGCAGAGGAAGGCTACTGAGTAATAGCCAATTTGTCTGGTGGGACTGATGAAAGGAGATGGGGATAGGTCTCTCGTGGTACAATAGTGAGTAATTGTTATCAAGACTGACTTTGAGGGCTGGAAATGTAAAGGCAGATGTTTTGTAGCAAAAAGAGGAGAATGATTTACTTTGCAGTCGAAGAGTGGAGGTCCCTGGGACCATCAAGGGAAAAGATCAGAATGCGGGATCCTACCCAGAAAAACAGTGATACCGATGATGGAGCAGAGACAATGACATGGAGAGATGGAGTGGCTGGGGACTCTAGATGCAGTGAGGGAGACGGGCTGTGTGCTGACGACTGGGGTACAGGTTTGCAGGGTATACCTTTTGGTTGGTTGATGATGCACCGAGGGGACTGTAACCATGGCTATGAAACGATATATCCGATAGGATGAATGTAATGCTAATGTTCTCCCATGTAAACTATCACATAATTCACAATAAAACATTAAAAAAAAAAAAAAGATGGGGATAAGATTCTTATGATTCAATAATGAGTAATTGTTATCATGACTAATTGCGACTATCAAAATTGTAAAAGACGAAGTTTTGTAACAAAAATGGGGGAGTAGTTAATCTTACAGTCCAGAAACAGGATCCTAAGACCACCAAGGGAGAAGATCACAAGCAGAATGCTAGACCTTATCCAGAGAAGCAGTAACATGAGAGATGGGGGCAGAGATGGGGACATGAAGCGAGGGAGCTGCTGAGGACTCTAGATTCATGGGAAGAGAGGGACTAAAAACTGGCAGCCAAGAGGCAGACTTGCAGAATATGCCCTTTGTTGGTATAAATTATTATATATGCTTGAGTGTTTTCTTTTTTAAGAAGAGCTAAAATCAATACAGAGAAATACTGTTAACTGATGGTATATGGAAGAGATTATAATCATTGTAATGAAACAAGGAATATGATTTGTTGAATATAAAACTAATGATCTGCCCTGTAAACTTTCATTTATAACAAAAACTTTAAAAAAAGAAGAAATGTCTGTGATCATTAGCCATAGACAGGACACAAATCAAAACAAAATGAGATAGCATCTTACCCCAGAATAAACAGCAAAGTTTAAAAAAAAAAAAAAAGAAAGCAATCGCTGTAAGGTTGTATACAGTCTGGGACACTCCTACATTGCTGATTGAACTGTAAAATGGTCCAACCAATGAAGAAAATAGGATTGTTTTTACTCAAGAAGTTGAAAATAGAAATACCAGATTGCTACCAACAAGCTCTCTACTTGGTACAAATCCAAAAGAAATACGAGCCATGACTGAGAAAATAAGGAACAAAATACAAAATTATTAAAAAATAAAAGCGACAACAAAAAACAGACTTAGTACTCAGAAAGAGATAGGAAGAACCTGAGACTATGGCCCTCAGTCTAGAAAAGAACTCACCCTCATGACCCAATTTTCAGCCAAGCAATAGATAGATATATAAGGGGGACGACACACTAGTAAAATATGCTCACCATGGAATGACTAATTATTCAAAATCAAAAGAGCAACATTTAACCAAGGGCAAAGTTGAGAAGGTGGTTGGAACGGGAATAGGAAACACAGAAAAATATAGGCAAAGGATTTGAACAGATATTTTTCCAAAGAAGATATATAAAGGGTCAATAAAAACATGAAAAAAATCCTCAATGCCATTATTCCATTGAAAAATGCCAATAAAATCACTATGATACATGACTTTGTACCCGTTTGGTGTTTCTCCAAAAAGAAACAGAGAAATACCATATGAACCAGCAGTTTGACTCCTGAATATACACCCCACAGACCTGCTAGTAGGGACACTTAACACATAACATATACGCTAATGTTCATTGTAGTCTCATTTAGCCAAAGAACAATCCAAGTGTTGTCAACATAAAAATGTATACATAAAACGCATGATGATGAATAGAATACTATCCCTCTATAAACAGTAATGAAGTTGTAATACATGTGCAACCCGGAAGAAACTTGAAAACATTATGCCAAATGAAATAAACAGATACCAAAGGGAACATAAAACTGACATTTTTTTCCAGTTTTTAATTAATACCACTCACCTATCTTACCAGGAAATTATAAGGTTTGTTGAAAACAACTCTGAATCTCTGTTGTTAGTGCCATCAAGTCAGTTCCAACTTATAACAAGGAGTTATAATTACTTATAACCAGGAGTCCTGGCGTGGTACTGTGGGTTAATGTGCCAGACTGCAAAGCCATTTGAATTGCAAGGTTGGTGATTCGAGCTCACCAGCTGCTCCTCAGAAACCCCATACAGGGTTGCTATGGATTGAAATCTACTCAATGGCACTTAACAACAACAACAAAAGGGCATATGATCTCATTTATATGAAATAATTAGAATAAAAAATATTTATTGACAGAAAGCAGTTTAATGACTACCACACACTAGGGGGAGGAGGCCATGGGTATTACAGAGTTTCTGCTTGGGGTGATAGAAAAGTTCTAGAAATTAATAGTGGTGATAACTGCATACTATTGTTAGTGCAATTAATGTTTTGGACTGAACACTTGAAAATGATCTTTCTACTGTTGCTTATATTTCTATCATTATTAGAAGAAAAAAAAACAAACCAGCAAGTTTTACTTACATAAAATTCTTACTTTAATTACACAGATTAAACAAAATTTAAATTCACCAAAACATAAAATTAAGTTGGGTATATAAGGAATCTCTTACTTACCTGACATTGCCCTTAGTGTTTCTGAGAACTGTAGCAGCAAAATTCTGTGTGACACCCACCAAGCTGATTCCATCCACTTCCACAATCTGGTCATTGACTTTTATTCTTGGGAAGGAAAAACAAAAAAGTAAACATTACCTGCAGCGAATTTTTGTGATAATATTGTATCATTCTCAATGAATAAGCTAACAAAGTGTTAGATTTTTAAGATATTTATCTAGATCTTAGTCATATGCATAATGTTTCTGAAACATGGTTTGGAAGAAAAAAATAATAGTAAATAGAGAGATTCCGTTTATCAAATATCCATATCCTTCTCACAAAGAATTGATTTGTTGTTGTTGTTATAGGCCGTGGAGTCGGTACCAACTCATAGTAGCAACCCTATGCACAACAGAACGAGATACTGCCGGTCCTGGGGCAACCTCACAATCATTGCTATGCATGAGCCCATCGAT